AAATAATCTGCCCTCTTTGTAATTGCCTTTGATATAAAGAGTGCAGTCTTACTGGTAATACGCAGGTTCTTGCCCTGTAAAAAGTAAGAAAGTTTCTGCTGGCTGCTCCAGTATTTTTTATTTTTTAAATATAAAACTAAATGGTCAGTCCTTTCTACTGAGTATAATTTGCAATCAAACAGGATGTGTGCAGTATCTTCAGTAGCTGGGGCACCACAAATAAATAGTCTTTCTTCATATGGGGCTCCTTGAAATCTCCCATATCTTACCATAGAGTCTAATTGGTCGAAACAAGCTCTAGTAAAAGCTCTTCTAAGATATTGGGGTAAAGGAGTTGTTAGATACTTTTCTAGTTGGAAGGCTGATTTGTGTTGGGCCAGCCACCAAGGACTTAAGATGTTTAAGTGTGCTATATCCTCTTGAGCAGCACAGCCCTACCTTTTTCATTGCTTTTTCTGCCCCACTTTAGACTTTTGTCCAGCAAGCCCAACGGCCTGGGGGCAAATACTTTTGTACCCCATGTCTCCCTGAGAGTGGCAGCCTTACCTTTGGCATGCTAAAATCCAGGAGCCACCATGACACCTGGACTTTGGTTGCTAAAGGCTCAATCTGGCTGCAAGTTCATGCTTGTGTCTGGGCCTCGCTAAAGCGATGGAGGCATCTTGTAGGCAGCTCTGCCCATCGTGGCTCCTCTTCCATTTTCTCTTCAAGCTGAGTACAATTATTAGAAACCGATGTAGCTCCGTTTTCTGCCATTTGTTTTTTTTCTTTTTTAGAACTGATGCCCAAAGGGAGCAAAGAAGAGCAACGGGACTACGTATTCTACCTTGCGGTAGCCAATTACCGACTAAAGGTGAGCTTGCTGATAGCCGCTCTGTTTCCCTTGCTTGCCACTCCTCTCGATTCGCCAGAGGTTCGCTTTTATGTCTGCCTCTGCTGAATTTCAATCAGCTGAAATAAGGCTGGAATCAATGCAGCTTGGGATTACAAGCTACAACAAGATATATTCTATTAACACAGTGTTTCTCAACCTTGGCAACTTTAAGAGGTGTGGACTTCAAGTCCCAGAATTCCCCAGCCACCTGGCTGGGGAATTCTGGAAGTTGAAGTCACACCTCTTAAAGTTGCCAAGGTTGAGAAACACTGTGTTAAAAGAAGGAGAGAGAATTTAAGTTTTGAATGCTTTTGCCCAGGGAGTCTGGGGAGGAGGAGGGACATGAGAAAGATGCTTGGCTGACCACATTCTTACCTCTCCTTTCAAAGCATCTCCATCATCTGGTCACCCCCAGACTGTCTGTGTTGACGGTAGTCATGAGATTGGTTAGCTGGCATACAACTTGTTCTTCTTCACTACCCATCCCTTTTATCCCGGTCAGCCCTCCAAGGTAGGCCAGGTCAGGAAACAGATTCCAGAAGATTTATTGGAACTCCTTTTTATTGATGTAAGCTATAATAACAGAATCTTGAAAGCCTGATGGTGTTTCCCCTCCCTCCCTCTTATACCAAAGCTAGTTAAGGTAGAGCCAGTTTAAGCCTCTTTCTAATGTTCTCTTCCTGTCCTGGGCCTGAACTGTGTTTTGCTCATTGCCTCCATAGGTTTTCTACAGGGTTATCTCTGTCATTTTCTACAACCCCAAACAGACTGGTTAGTCTAGGCCAGGATTGTCTGTCCTTTACCATTTAGGCCAATGCCTTCAGGGAACAGCCAATATAGATGTTGAGTTTGATGGCTGACTGTGGCATTCGGAAGGCTTCGGTGAGGCAAATGACACTAATCTTCTCCTCTACACTGAGCCATTTTTTTTAACCCCACCTCAAAGCAGACCTCTAGCTAAGGATATTTAAGCTTATCCCATCACCCCCAGCACTTTTCTTCCTTCAAATTTGAAAATAAATCTCAGCATCTGAAGGTGTCATGGAGGTAAATGGCACCTGCTTGTTTTGTCTGGACCTCTTGAACATGATGGGTGGAGGGTGGGATTGCAAAAGAGGATCTGGAGAGATGTAATTGTTTCCCAACCTTGGCCGCGTGCAGGGGGTTGACCCTTTTGGCAGGGATGAAAACCCCGTGCTTCCTGTTAACTTGGCCTTGTCTTATCTCTGAGAACTAATCCTGACTTCATAAACTTTGTGGAAAGCAGGGTGTTGCCCATCCTTATCTGTCTTGGCTGATCCTCTTATCTCTGCGTTTTATGGACTGCCTCACTGCATGATCATAACTCTTCGATCCTTGGGTGTGTTGTTGAGGCAGCAGTGCAGATAAGAAGCAACTTGGGTCTGAGGGAGGATCTGTGCAAAGCACAGCTGGGTGAACAGTGCATTCTTAAGGATGTTTACTCAAGAGGAAGTCCCACTTGGGCCAGCTCTAGGATATGCAGCCTTAAGAGCAGAAATGGAAGGGGACGATTGATGGAAGTCCAGACGTGTTTTGAAGCTTCTGTGTGGTGCAACAGATAAGCTATTGGGATTGTGGGATGAGGAGGATCCAGCACTGAACCCTCTCCAGCTCAAAACCTATGGGATGGTCTGGAAGCTGTTGTCTCTCTGTTTAACCTGCCTCCAATTAGTAAATGTTGCTCCTCTGAAAAAGAGCTAGTTGCCAGATGCCAGCTTTCACTCCATTCGCTCCTTGTCTAAAGTAAAAAAAAAAGAATGGAAAAACATGATATCTCCCTCATATATTGGGACTACAGCTCCCAGTATTCCCCAGCCATCGCATCTGGAGGGCCTCAGATTGAGAAGGGTGGCTGCAGAGGAATCTGGGCCTTCCTTGAAGTCGTCTTAGGCCCGAAATCTGGAGAGTCCAGCGTTTTGTTCCTAGCCCTGGCAAATTGGGCCAGTGCCTTCTTGTTTGTTCCCACTATTTGTTTTTTAGGTATCCTGATACTGAACATGGAGAATTATGTTGTGTTCAGTAAGCATGTTTGGGTTCTCTTTCTGTAATATTGGACAACTCCCTTGGAATGCGTCCATAGTCATTCCATAGATGAAGTTGCTTTTCGTCCATGTAACCCTCATACCTGTCAACTTACGGGTTTTGACTCTCCCAGTTGTTTCTACCTGTCCCACCCAGTCTGGCAGGAGGGGCGTACTCCGGGTGCTATGAGCTAAGGAATGTTGGCGGGGTGGGGCCCAGGAGGAGGGCCTTTTCTGCCATGGCACCCGCCCTCTGGTACATCATCCCTCCTGAGACTAGGCTAGCCCTGACCCTGCTGGCCTTTCTCAAGGCCTTACAAACTTGGTTTTTACCCCAGGCCTGGGGCCCCAGAAGTATGATGGGGCCTGTCTCTCGGCTTTATTGACCATTATTTTATGAAGCTCAGCTGCTGTGTGTTTTTATTTTACATTGTGTATTTTATTTGTTTTTATCTATTTTATCATAAGCCACCCAGAGTCACATTTGTGAGATGGGCGGCTGCATAAATCAAATAAATAAATAAATAAATAAACTTCTTTGTGTAGTTCCTGGGGTATTTTCCTCTCCTGACCATGCTTGAGAATTTACAAGCTGCCAGTCCTGAAACTTTGTACCCATCCCGTTTCGTTCTTAGAAGTTGAGAAGATCCACCTGCTTCTGCCCTTCTTGCTTGCGATGGGCTGGTGTGACTTCATCTGGCACCCTGAATATGACAGCTGCTCTTTCTTTCTCTGTGACAGGAGTATGAAAAGGCTCTGAAGTACATCCGGGGGCTGCTGAGGACAGAGCCAAGCAACACGCAAGCCTTGGAGTTGGAAAAACTGATCAATAAAGCTATGCAGAAAGGTTAGGGGGTAGAGGTGGGGCAGCCCTGGGAGGATCAGTCCTTTTTAGCCCAGTTCAGTCATAATGGTCCCAGTCCAAAGAACTGTGGCAAGTGTGCTCTTTCCCAACCTGGTTATCAACCTCTGGATTCTCCTGCTTTGTAAAGAATTGACCTAAACACAGTTTCAGAGCTGGGATACAAAAAGATAGGATCTAGCAAACTGTGAAGTGCAAGTGCCCAGCAGCGGAAGCATGTGAACCCTGTGCTTTTAACTGGTGCAAAAAACTCAGGTAATTTAGGTGGGTTACTTCCATCCAGAAAACTCTTAAAAGGGGAGATGGTACTCTCTCAGCAAACCAGGTTATTTTACACACACACACACACACACACACACACACACACACACACAATATATTCATATTCCTAGAGTGCAGTGCTAGGAACAGGTAAGATACTGAGCAGAACCCTCAAACTCCCAGGCCTCTGGTAGAGGACCCAACATTGAGGAATACACAGATCTCCCATAGGGCTGAGAGGGGAATTTTTTTATATTTAAGCCCATAGCAGCTAACATTTGAAGATCACACAGCGATTGCTGTGACACCGGGAGGGACCTGTGGCAGGGTTGATGGTCAAGGGAACTTGGTCAGCCCTGGGAAGGCAGCAGTGGCAGCTGTTACTCCTTTGAAAAGGTGGGGGGGGAGATGAGTCGGTTACCATGGCAATGGGTTTGTCCAGCCCACTCTCCAAAGCAGCAGATCACAGTCCCTTGAACTTCTCTATCTTTAATTAGCACTGAAGGATGATGCCTCCTTGTTCTCTCCACAGATGGTCTGGTCGGCATGGCGATCGTTGGCGGAATGGCATTGGGAGCGGCCAGTCTGGCTGGCCTTATCGGCTTGGCCATCGCTAAATCCAAATCCTAAGGTGGATAGGGTAGGCCTCCCTTCTCTTCCTCTGGTGGAGCAGCCTGGCCTGGCAGCTGGAAGACTAACCCTTCAGAGAAGCAGAGGGATGATTAAAAACATGTTGTTTTCCTCAAATGTCACTAACCTGACTAATTCCTGGGTCCTCTTTTTCCTGCCGATCAGTGGCCATGCTCATGAGGCAAAGGGGCTATGATAACGCAGTGGAAGAATGGCCAAGTAGGATTACAGAGAATGAGGGGTGCCCTGGGAGTATAATCCAACTTCCCTGTTGTGTTAATCCAAGTTGAGGTCCTTTGCTGCGGTTCATTTATTGTCTCTCCTGTACTGGTACAAGAAGATGCACTAGTCCTCCTCTCTCTCTGCCTTTCATTTGTCCCAACCACTAAGAGTTTGGAAGTTCCTGCTGCTGAAGTACAGGGCCAAAAATGAACCCACTTGGTGTCCCTTCTGGAGAAACCAGAATGTTCTTCTGCCTTTCAGATGGAGCTTTGACCAAATACCGGAGACAAGACAGCCTTCTGAAAGCAGCAAGTTTTCCTGGCCGGAATCTTTCCTTCACTTGCAAACTGATTTTTCCCCCTCCTTCTGGGCTTGCTCTTTACCTGTATCACAGTGTGTAGTCAGGATGAACGCATGGTCAGCACTTGGTTTCTTGGAATTTTCCCCTTTATGGCTAGCTAGACTCCTGAGTTCTTTCACTCTCTTTAAAAAACATTTTGTGGAGCCGAAGGGGCTGGGTTGCACCAGCAAGAGAACTAGGCCCACCACTTTTGGCTTCTGATGGTTGTGGTGGACCTCTCAATATGTAGGTTTGGTAGTGGTGGGCAGGAGGTTGAAGCCACTTTAGGTCACTCCAAGCAACTCCCTCTCTTGCTGAACTACGATGCCCAGCATCCTTCACTCCTGGCCATGCTCCCTAGGCCTGCTGGGATCTGCAGCTCACAAGTTAGCTAGCCCTGAGTAAGACATCAGTCTCTATGGTGGCATAGATACTGTTCCGCTATCATGAGTGTTCAAAGATTTGCACCATTGGGTGCAACGTTACTCATCTCCTTTTCCGAGTAAGGCATTTATATTGTTCTCTAGCCTCTGAGTGTCATGAAGGAATAATAAAACAAATTAGGAGAGTAATGTTATTGGTTTCCTTAATTCTTGGTTTCTGCCTTTCAGGAAGGATGAAGGAAGGGCAAGTGACAAATCATGTCATTGTGCAAATGCTGCAACGTGTGTACTGCACTTGCCCCAGACATCAGGATGCAAGTACGTAACGGTGCTTGCACAATGACTTCACCCTGAGCCTGTTAGTGTTTTGGCATCCTTCTGGCTTACTGTAGAAACCACCGATGGACCATGATCACTTGCCAAACTACCTGGCTATTGTCAAGCATTCTGGGATCTTTGGAGCTCTCGGATAATATTTCTGTATTCCTGGGCATTTGCCAGGGTCTGCCTGGATGACAACCCCCTTTTGGCTCACCTTGTACTCTGATACATTGGCAGCAGAAAATGGCTTAATTGCTCTGAAGAAACCTGTGCCAAATGCAGCACAGAAACCAGGCTGATCTTTGGGAAGGAGCAGATGGCTTGTTTGGCAAGCCCTTGGCTGGGGGTGGGGGCCAGCTCAGCCCTGTGAACAGACCTGCTCACATCCTGGAAAAGTCCTTGGTTCCAGTGCTTGTTGAAGTTTTCACCATAGCCTGTGGACTGAGCATGGTGATTCCTTTTCCCCGCCCTGCCTAGAGTTACTGAGATGTAGCAAGTAAAGTGATTCTTCCTATACTGGGGCCTTCTGGTAGTAGGATCTATCTGGCACTTTTTTTTTCAGATTTTAAACCTTAGTTCCCAAAGTGCAGCAGGTTTGTCTCTTTCTTTTTAAGTCAAAGGGTCTGAAATAGCTCTAGCTCATATTAAATTCAGTATCTCCCTTTTAGAATTACTATTTCCTGAACAAAGATGGGACTCAGCGTGGCATAACAGTGAGTGCTGCATTGAGAGGAGGAAAGGACTAAGCCTGAATCTGTCTAGAGAGGTCACATTTTTCCAAGCGTGCCTTCTCTTTCATGGCACTGCGTTATGGAACAGCCTCCCTGTTCTTGGTTTCTTCAGAAGGCTGCGAAGATGTGGCTCTTCCCCCAGGCGCTGGGGCCAGGAGGTTAATGGCGCTCTAGCGTGGGTGGGTGTGAGATCTTGGAAATGAGATTTTTATCGGGGCCTCACCCTGGTTTTTCTTTGAATTGGTTTTATTTTTGTTCACCACCCATGGTTCCATGGGTTATGTGGGTGGCCATAGAGGGA